CAGGGGAGCAGCACACACCAGCAGCGCCGCCAGACAAGATGCTCACGCACAGTTCCATTCACAGAATTATCTCGCTTGACGGGGAAGCGCACAATAACCGGGATCTCCCCGGTTCCACAACAATCCATCCCCCCCAAAAAAGGGAGGGGGCGTAAAAAAAAAAAAAAGGCAGGGCTTTCTTACTCTTCTCTTTTTCCCCCCCAACCCGGCATTCAATCAAAAGAACAAAGCCTGATATTTTGTTTGCCGACTTGGCAAACATAAAGGCAATTTCAATAGTCCAAAGGAGTTCACCTAAGTTGGTGAAAGTAATGCTTTGCAGTTCTCCAGCGAAATTAAGCTTTAATAGCTATCTGATGCCATTCAGAGAAAGAAGGGGAGGAAACTGGCTGAATTTAGATAAAGTTAGAGGACCACTTCACTCGGAAGAAGTTTTTGACCAGCCGAAAGTACCCTCTAAATTCTTGACAACATCCAGAGCTTAATTATCTTGCTGAATTCTTGTTTGGGGAGGGCGGGGGGGGGATACAAAAACCAAAATAGACCATTAAAAACACCCATATGTCAGAGAATTCAGAACAATTTACTGTATAACATTTTCTCATGACTAACTTTAAAAAAAAAAAAGAAAAGAAAAGAAAAAACCCTACCAAAACTTGTGGATGTGTTCCTTTAAAGCAAATGGTCCTAACACATATTAAACCACCACTGCGCGTCTTCTAAGCATAGTAGGAAAAAATGACTATTGATCTTCAAATAGCGATAATTGAAAAGATCAAAAAGATTAAACAAAATCAAGAATGTGCTGACTTACCATGCTATGCTTTTTTGTTGCAACTTTGTAGAAATTTCACTCAAAGAAACTGCATCAGAGGTGTCAAATTTTTTAGCGGACTGTGATCGTATTATTTCCGCAGCCCTGCCTTCCAATGCTTCAGAACTTTTTCCCCTTTCTCTTTTTTGTTTGTGGTACCTAGCTTTTTGCTATAGACTTTAAAAGCCTTCAGCTCAGCAAACCAGCACAAATTATCTTGCCACCTTGCGCAGCTCTGATGCTTTGGCCGCTAACTTTGGAAGGCCCTTTACTACTGCATCAAAATTAGCATTGTCAAAGCAGTTAATGAATATTAATATTGTATTTGTCATTGGAGCCGGTCCGTTGCTGAACTCCAAGTCATCCATCAGGGACAAGATTAAGAACACAATTATTTCTGACTGACAGGGACCAAATCTGCTAGAATTTTTTTTTTAAACAATTCGGGGGGAAAAAACCCACAATATCATCATCTTAAGGTGTCTCCCAAGAGACTGGGAACCAGATTAATACGCTTTTAATGAAGTAGAGATCATTATGTATGAAGGGGAAAAAAAAAAAGAAAAGAAAAGATGTACTATTCAAGCTATTTAGTTATGGTGGCGGCTAGAAATTTTTTAAAAAATGCAGACGGCATATCTTTTTCGACAGCTGTCCAGATTTTATTCATACTGTTTCTAAAGAAAAAGACGACTTTTTTCCCCCCCTCCCTGAAATCTTTTCCTTTTTTAAAAAAAGAACAGAGAACGAGCGATTCGTCCCATCTGGGATAATTTTCCATGTCTTCACTTTTACTGTGGCGGCTCAGGAAAGACAGCACGGTAAATAATTCCTACACAAATTTGACAAGAAACACCTTCATCAGCTCGGCTCCTTCCACCCTTATTCCCCAGGTTCCAAGCACTGTCTCTCTCACTTTATTCAGAATGAACCATTACATTTACTGAAACTCTTAAGTTCCCTTTCACAGTGACATCTTTCTGTCATCAACACACAGGAAACCACACAACTCAACGAAAGCCCCTCTTGCACATGCCGCAGATCCCGAAATGACATTAAGAGACGGTGCCCAGTACTCTCCAAAGGAGCCAGCGCTATCCAAGTTAGGGTGCCGCAGAGCGGAAATGGAAGTTTTTCTCAGGAATTAAACCAACCAACAGCAGCTTAATGAACAATCAGCCCAGAAGCAGAAAATGATTTACGAGATGACTACAGTAGAAGACTTTCTCTACACAGGCAAAAGACTAATTAAAAAGGTTTAAGTTTAAAAACTTGCAGCTTACCTGGCATAACCAACTTACATGAATACACCCAAATCATTTCAACATCTCTATCTGCCATGCAGAGTGACATCATGTATAACTATAATATACATATAGACACACAGATACAAATATAGAGCGATTTCTTAGGCATTTTAGGAATAGCGTGCTTCATTGGCTTGCTCCATATAAATTGTCTTCGAGACGATATTTCCACCCCCCTTTTCGTATTTTAAATGTGGTAAAAGGGATAAAATGACAGATGTGACGGTTAATCTACCCAATGAATCGCGGGG